TTTTACCTGTGGTTTTACCTGTGGTTTTACCTGTGGTTTTACCTGTGGTTTTACCTGTGTGTTTGTTTGTCCTCTGTCGTTGAGCAAAGCCTGGGACTTGGAAATACTCTTCATCCACTCACAACATCAGTCCGTCCATCTGTGCATGTTGTGAGCACAATAACTGGAAAAATAAACGAGACACTGGCTTCCATTTTGGTGTGTGGATGCAGCTAGGCATAAGAAAGGTTGCTGTCAAAAATTGGGTTGCCATGTCAAAATCCAAGTCCAGAGTCACTAATAAAGTTATACAAAGTAATCATATGTCATTCATCTAGAACTGATTAAGTTTAGGAATAAATCAAATTCAAAATGACTGCTGAAGTTAATCAACATCATCCAACACAGTCTTATTCAACAGATCTCAGGCCTGGTAGCCCAGAGTCATGTGAAGCTCTCACAGTTTAAAACCAAACAGAATGAAACTCATCACCATTTATTACATTAATAAAGACAAACATCTGACAAATGTAGCTCACTGGAAACCATTTGACCTTTTGTACGTTGCTTTATGATTACCAGTGTTTGTGTGGGTTTTTACTGTGTAGGAGGGAAAGTTGTCAAATGGAAGCGCCTGACGCCGTGGCTGATGCTAATTTGTTTTCTGCGAACAATAGACGGGCTGTGATCGACGAGAGGTTTTCTCATCAGCTTCCTGGGAGCCGGTCGGCCGTCGGAGCCCGTTAAATTGTCCCTCACCGCCTGCGTTCCTCTTCAGCATAAAGCTGACAGTTGCTGCTCGTTGTTGGATGAGCGCCTGTCGTGGAACTGAAACATCCGCCTTGATGGTTTTTCAGCACTCAGGCTAGTTTTTATCCAAATATACCCTTTCACAATAATGGTATTAATTAATGGGCGGGGCTTGCACTAGCAGGAAACACTTCCTCTTCATAACAGTCAACAACTCAAAGATGATGTTCGAATTAAACATGGCCACCATGACCATTTTTACAGTGTAAAAATAATCACATTATTAATTGGAATTAAAAAATGCAGTCATCACTGTTGCTGCCTAAATAAAATCACATATTGGGGTAATTTAATTCAGTAAAGGGAGTGGTGGTGCAGAGTTTAGAGAAGGTGGGCCTGTGATTGGAAGGTCACCGGTTCAACTCCCCGGACCGACAACATCAAAATGTGGATGGGATAGGTGAAGCACCCACACCTGCCTCCACCTTCATTTGCCCCACCCTGGGCCCTTGAGCAAGGCCCTTAACCCCCATCAGCTGCTCCTCCCTAGCTGGCAGCTCCCTGCTCCACACAGAGGCTGTGGCAGCTCGGTGTCTGTGGTTGTGTCAGGAAGAACACCCAACATAAAATCAATCACCAAGTCTTCGTGCATGTTAGTTCGCTGGTGACCCCTGAAGAAGGAGCAGCCAAAAGAAAACTAAAATAAGGGTGAAATAGTATAATTTATTTAGTTTTTTGCACAAATATTAATGCAACAGAGCTTGTTCATAGTCACTTTGTTTAAAATTAGTGTCAGCAAGTTTCAATTCAGCAGGATATACTGGTAGTTTCCATTTATCTCGTTTTAGTTTCAGTAGTATTACCAGAGTAAACAGGCTGTTATATTTATTTATTCTTTTTTTATAGTTTATCTACAGTTGGGGACTGCCTGTCTATTATTATCCACCTGAAAAGGGTCTCGCTCTTCCTTCAACTTTAATGTGGTTCCCCACAAAGTTTCTATCAAAACGAACGGCTCGGCACCGTGATGTGTGCCGTTGAGTTACCATGGCAACATAATTTGCAAATAAAGACGCCATTTTCTCATTAAAAACACAGACAGAACTATTGAACAGCCTGACACAGTGAGGTCACATGACCTGAGTGGAGAGGTCTCTGCAGAAAACTCAGAAAGTCATCGAACAAACTCTTCCTACCACACATCTCTTAAGATACACAAACATATTATATACAGCACGTAGGCATTTTTTATCTTTCCACCAGTATTTCTGGTGAGGCTGTAGGAGTTATGTTTAAATCAGCCATCTTTAGAGACATTAAGCTGAAATTTGGTGCGATGTAGCTGAGGGCAATGTCCCAATAAATACTGAACTGTAATACAAATCCAAGATGGCCACCAAAGCTCAATTTAAACGACTTTAACTCAGCTATTTTTACACATACAGCTGAAATTTGGTGTGCTTATTTTCCATATTGAGCTGAAATTGGATTTGTTGGTAGCTGAGAGCGAACCCCACCACACAGTACTGTCACATCAACATTTAAAAATGGCCGCCACGTGGCAGTCCTCGTCAACGTTTCTCCAGGAACTTTCTCGTTGTAAAGTTTTATTTCTTCTCTGCTGCTCCAATCTTTGTAAATGACCGTTAGGAGTCTGACCAGCTGTTATTTGTATTTAACGAGCCTGTGTAACGAGCCTGTGTAACGAGCCTGTGTAACGAGCCTGTGTAACGAGCCTGTGTAACGAGCCTGCTGCAGGATGCTTGTATTTCACCTGCTAACGTGCTAACTCTGGTAGCTTGTTGCAAACGCTCGCTTTAAGAGTTGCAACTAGAGTGTGTGTTTAAAGTGTGCACTGCTCCTTTAATTAGCAAGCTGTAACAGACGAGTCTTGTATTTTCACCTTACGTCCACGTGTCCCTGTGTGTCCCTGCGTGTCCCCAGGACCCGTCGGTGCAGAAAGTGGGCGGAGGCAGGAAGAAGACGGTGTCCTTCAGCAGCATGCCCTCTGAGAAGAAGGTAGATTGAAAATTAAGTTGCAGAACCGTGTCCATGCAGACTTTGTGAAGTTCATCGAAGCTGAACAGATTCAGAGAAATGAAAAAAAGTTTTATTAACATTTAATTAATAAATGTGATTCAAATGAAGAGAAAACCAAATTAAATGTCAAACAGAGGAAGAGGCGACCAGTGTTGGATTGTAACATTAAAAAAATGAAAATCTTGTTCCAGTCTTTAAACTGGTCTTTAAGAAAAGTGACAATTTATTTACGATTTGAGCAAATTAAAGTCAAACCTTCAGGGTGAGACGAAGGTCAGAAAAGCTAAAGGGAAAAAACTCTTTCCTTTAAAAATGATTCTTAAACCAACAAAAATCAATCTAACAGAAAGATGAACTAAACCAGATGAACTGAACCAGATGAACTGAACCAGATGAACTAAATCAGATGAACTAAACCAGATGAATTAAACCAGATGAACTGAACCAGATGAACTGAACCAGATGAACTGAACCAGATGAACTGAACCAGATGAACTAAACCAGATGAACTGAACCAGATGAACTAAACCAGATGAACTGAACCAGATGAACTGAACCAGATGAACTGAACCAGATGAACTAAACCAGATGAACTGGACCAGATGAACTGAACCAGATGAACTGAACCAGAAGAACTGAACCAGAAGAACTGAACCAGATGAACTGAACCAGATGAACTAAACCAGATGAACTAAACCAGATGAACTAAACCAGATGAACTGAACCAGATGAACTGAACCAGATGAACTGAACCA